AGAATTGCTAGGATGTTGGTGATTCTGGAATTGAGATTGAACTGGTCTAGATATTGAATTGTGTTATGGATTTGATATTGGTTAATGGATAATTGTTTGAATTAAGTCGAATTGATTTCTGCTGGTTATGTGCGRTTTGCTAGYTAATACGTTTGCTGATAATTGTTGAGAATTAGTATTTATGGRAATACTAATTCGATGTTTAAAAAAAAAAAAAAACGGGTCGGGTTGTTTCAAAGGGGGCTTCCACTATCGGTGCTCGCTTAATATTTACTAAATGACTAGATAGTGACTCGCGTTATACGCGGGATAATGTGATACGCGAGTAAAATTAATCTAGCTTTAGTTAAAAATATAATTTATAGTTATTTGAAAAATTATTATACGGAATCTAAAACTCGTTTATATATATGAATTTTGTAACTCTTTTGTATAGAAATGCACCCCACCCGTAAAATAGTTGAAACTATTTTTTGAGTCAATATATATCACATACTAATAAAATGTATTTATTTACTATCATAATTTTTAAAAATACGGTTTATGGCTCAAATATACAAAATAAAAAATTGCAAATATGAATTGAATTTTATAGGTTTAAGGTAATTATAAGAATTGGTGAACATTAATAGTAAATTTTTTTTTATTTTTCGTTTTTAAAATACAAATCCAAAAAAWTATTTTCTAATRATGTTTGGTTGTAARGATTSTRTGATTGTGTAKTGTTTGRATAAYAGTATAGTAGAGAATAAATAGGATAGTGGAGTGTTTGGGTAATAGTATAGTAGAAAATTAATAATAGGGTTTAATTTTTAATTAAAATCTCCAAAAATTTGAGAGCTTAGCACCTAAGCAAATTAATCCAAAAATATTTCTCCTTTAATATATAGAGGATTCCATTGTTTAAAAAAATAATAATTGTATCTCTAACTAGATCTTAATTTTCATTTTTTTTTGTTTCTTTAAAGTGGCATTTGTGAAATTAATATGGACATATATCATTTTTATAACATGATATATTTTACTCAAACGGATTACACTATACATGACAACTAACTAAAAATCACAAATTTATTAAGAATAAAAAAACAATTAAGTTACACGAGAATTGCGCAAAAAGTTTTGTTAAAATAACTGTTCCAAACTACTATTTTTTACTATATGAAAATGCTCATCAGTTTTTGAATAAAGATATATCTAAATTAAAATAACAATTAATAAGCCAACTAGTCAAAGTACCATCTTTCAATGCTATATGGAAGTATGATTTTATTCTTTTTGATAAGGAAAAAAAAAGGAAGGAT